TTCTCTTCAGAATTAACATGATAAATGGGTCACATGTAAGAAATGCTAGAAGTTGGTGCTGGCAGATATTTCTTTTTCCTTTTCATCTTTGCCTAGAATTAGCTATTCAATCAAGAACAGTTTAATTACAATACTGTAAGGGTAAGGCAGGGGCACTGCCTGGACTCCCAGCAGGGACGGATACACAAACACAAGGCACACTGGGGTCAATACTGAGCATTTATTATCTCTGAGTTTGAGCAGGGGTTCCTCAGCGATTTCCCGATCGAGGCAATAACGGAGCAGGAGAGTCCCTGGCACCACTGAGCATCAGTCCCTGGCGAGGAATGCTGGGGGAGGGGGGGGACTATATGAGGTTTTTATGGACTACATACCTGTGCAGTAAGCATATTGAGCTCATCGCTACTTCCAATTCAAAGCCCAGGTGCAGCGCCACACCGGCACGGTCTCAGCCACGTGACTGTGGGTTATCATGCCCTGTTGATGCTCCTTTTCCCAGAGCATGATCTGGCTAGCTTCCGTCACCTATCTCCTCGACATTCTTCTGCATTTTCCCATACAAGTACAAATGCAGGGTTGGGGGGCGGGGAGGTGGGGTCTTTAAAAATGGAGGGTTAACATTAGCTTACATTTATATGCCTATTTTAATTTCAAAATATGGAATAAAAGATCAAGTTGTATTTGAAATGCTGGAAAGTACGTCATTGTGACTTTTTTGTGTAGAACGATTAGAAAGTTCCTTTGTGTTGTGCGTAGATCGCCAGTTGCATAGAGTTCAACCAGATTTTCAGAGGTCTTTGTGAAATCCAAAGCCATATTTGTAATTGCTGAGAGACAATAAGGAAAAGGGTTTTCAGCAAAGTCTGCAAAGCAAGAGTAGGAAAAGAAAGTAACTTAAACAACTGAATCAAATATTCATCACAAAAGGGGGGCAAAAGAAGAGTTCACTTTAGGTCAGAGATCTAAACTGCACAGATGCAGCTAAACCTATTACAATGGGGTAGTCAACTGTGGGTAACAAATTGGGCTTTGAAACATATGTTTAAATTGTTCTCGAGAAATAAAACACCCTCTGCAAAAATCCCACTCATTGCGGTCATGCAAACAGTCTTTTGGGGGTTAGCTGTTGTTTTGTGTGAGCAAGGAAAACAAGATTTCCCTCCCTTTATTGCTTTCAAATCCTTTCCACATCCCCATACTGAGCCATGAAACACAATTTTCTATAATATATTTCGTATGACAAGCAGAGGCTCATCAATTCCATCTCTGCAAATGTCCAAGGCTCTTAAGAACTTGCTTTGGAGAGACTGAAGAAACAACTTGCATTAAGAGAACATTAAGGGTTCAGTTCTGCCTCACTCTGTCATGCCAACAAGTGCCTTCCTCTGTGACTTGTCTCCCTGATCTCCTTGCAAGACTTGCCCAGACTGAGACAGGAGGACAGACTCTGCCTTAAAGTCTGCATCATCCATCTATGGCAAAAAGCACTAAGGTCCGTTTAAGGCTAGAGACCCCACCAAGCTAGCATGCTCGAAGCATAGGGCTATCGTCCTAGCCAAGTGTTGTGTCCCCAGTCCAAGTGACCTCATACTCATCCATCACACTCAGCTGGTGAAGTAGCCGTCTGCACACGTCCTCTGAAAGACCGTGACCCTAACTGCACCTTGGCTGTCACTTGTGCTACCACACAATTCAAACCCTATGTGTACATGATTGCCTTTTACACTGCTGAGCAATACCTTGCTTGAAAAATAGGCCCTCTTGCAGCTTCAGAGGCCAGTAAGCCATACATGAGGTTGGTGAACCAGAGGGAAAGAAGCCCCAGACAGATGAACAGCACCACAAGCCAGAAGTTAGCAGGGGCCCTTTCAGTTCTTTTAATACCAGCTTGAGGACCGGAAACAGGAAAAAAAATTTCTATTCTCCTTCAGCCTCAGAGGTGGTGGAACCGTTCTTGATTAAACACTGATATTAGCAGTAAAAAGTTGCCTATAAGCAAGGAGTAAAATGTGACAATTTTCAGCTGGCTTGCTCACAGTTCTGGAAAGGCATGAAACACCAGAAACTCTGATATTAGTCTAAAAAAATCTGTACCTCCTCAGCACTGGTGCTTTCTTTTGTGCCTACAGAAATATATGACCCAGTCACTGTGGACTGGCATTAAATGCAGAAACATATTGCTGTTACTCAGGGAAGGAATAAGACTTTACATTACTTAATGGCAATTTTCCTGATGATTGCAGAGCCACTACTCTAAAAAGAGATTTCACTGAGGAAAGGAAATGCTCTTAAGAATGTTTCTCTTGTTGCACGGTCTGTTTTCAAGAAAGGTTCCTCAGGGAACCACACTACGATGCAGAGTGACATTCAAATGACAAAGGCTATTATCAGAGAGCGCCTGAAGCATATATGCTCCTACTCTTGACCTTTATTTCACTGCTTCTACTTTCATTGCTTTCTGCTGATATACTGACACATGCACAGGAAAAGGATCATGATGATCAGATTCCTTTTGCTATTTCCTTATTATAGGCACAAAGTCAAGTTTGCAGTTCTATTTAATCATACTTTGGTACTACTTTGGCTGAGAGCAATTCACCCTTGTTGGCTGAATTTAATTGCAGGAGGCAACCAGCACTGTTAGTTTTGAATCCATGGTTTGGAAGTTCACCTACAAGCACGATGCTCCTTGCCACAGGAATTGGTTCATCATGTTGTGGCACTTCTTTTTCATATGGACAAAAATGTAACTTTTTATATTAAAAGGAGTTTCTTAAAGTAAAAACTTCAGACAGGAACTTGGTGCTGGCTGCCTTCAGGTTCTCTCTATGTTGCATGACAGAGGCAGCGACAGGTTCCAACAAACCATGGAGGAGGGTGGTTGGGTGCCCTTCTCCACCTCTACTTGCCAGCAATCATTGGCTGTGAATAATGTCCCCTCTGCTGAGAAAAAAAATGCTGTTGACAATGTGCCAGGAGCTAGGCAGATGCACCTATGGTGTGAAATAGGCTTCATCCACCTTTTGCAAGCGTAAATGTGTATTGGGTGTTGGGAACTGAAGACTCTGCAGGGCAGGGACAGGTAAGTGCTTTGCACACTGTTGTTGAACTCTTTGGGCGTCCTGCAAGCTGAGCCAAGGCGAGCAAACTAAACCTGCAAGCTCTGTGCCTTTCACACGGAGCAACCAGCTTCTTCACTAAGTGACAGATGCATAGAGATTATTCTTGTGCTTTTGGGCTTGTACTGCTGAAATGACTCCTGGTTCTTTGGCTTTTCAGACAGTAAGGCCAAGCACATTAAGCGGCCAATGTCTAAACAACTAGCAGTTCTGCAAATTACTCTGGTTAGAAGAGATTTACAGTGTTCTGTGCCTACAGTTTGTCCTTTCTTTGTTATACCTATTGAGCCTTAGGTTGTAAACTTTTCAGGCCTGTTACTTGTTTGCTACACTTCACCACTATATAGACTAATAGCACTGTGGAATCATATTTCTCTTGGATTTTATACTTAGAAAGATTATTTTGTGTAGAAATGAGTCTAAGATAGTTACTTTTGGTTTACTCCCCTTGTGGACATGTATTCCAGGCTTAAGCTGCCTTTTTGAGATTTCAGCCAACTTTTGATTTGAATTCTGATGTGCTATTTTGTTAGATTGCTAAATGTACACAGGCCTCCAGTTATACCAGCTTAGATGCTGGGGGATTTTCAAATACTCTCTTCTTCTCTGTTGAAAACATTTCATTGTCTCAGTTCTCACTTCAAAACATTACCATGCAACTGTGCACAGCATTTTTTATGATTTTAAAATCTTTGAAGGATTTCAATTAGGACTATCTGAGAGAGATCTCCTTCTTCTTTTTATTTCCACAAGATAAAACAATTAAGTAAGCCTAAAGACCCATAGAACAGCAGTAAAATGAAGTTTGTACTGCTTGCTTAAACCTCAGAGCCCAATGCACCTTTGCTAATGACTCCATTTGTCCTGAAGAGAAGAGAAAGTAGAGTTCTCAAAAAGAACAGCGAAAATATTAGGCCCATAGAGGATGCATGGAGTGTTTTGACAGAGCAACTTGAGTGCAGCACCACATCATTAAATCTAGAAAGACAGTGAAAGAAAGGGTTGCTACAATTCATAGCCTGGAGTGAGGTCACCAGCTAATCTGACTTCATGACAACAAAAGATCCTAGACTGATGAGAAAGTGTCCTCTGATAGAGGTCAGCATTCCTCTGCCTAAACAAGTCTTTCAGGCTTGTGGAGGAAAAATATGTTAGCTCGACTTGCTTGGACATATCCCACAATAGCATGTTACCATCAGCATTCTGAAACCTTTTGTGGATTATATAATGATTAACTGACCATTCAAATTCTAGAAATGTCACATCTGTAGCAGCGATCAGCTCCTCAGGGAGGAGGCAGCAGAGTGTGAAACCTGAATTCAAGCAACAGGGGGAGATTGAAAGAATAACTAAAAAGAGAAATAACTTGCAGCTGCTAGAAATGAAATTTAAGGTTTGCAATATAGCAATAATAGTATCTGTATTTATGTAGACCTGTGTGCATGCACATATGTGTAATGACAATATCACGGTTTCCAAACAGAAAGAGAAAACCACTTGCAAAAGATTGTTCACCAGTTATTACAGCTCTCCAAGGTGAACTGTTATTTAAATGGTCTCTAAGGACTTCTGGTCATAAATATTTCTAAACTGTATGCACTTAACTCGTGCCAATCAATACCATAAAGCAACTCTACAGCTAAGTTAGCAAAGTAGAGAACTCTTGTTTATTGACTAAACCCTGGTGGTACTTATATCTAAGGCTTCAATTCTGCAGCTTATAAAGTAATCGTATTCATAGTTCCAGGTCATATGCATCCTGTTATTTTCTTTTTATACAGATGATTAAATATTTTATAGCATATTTACTTGTTGGGAAAACTTTTACCTTGCACAGACAAAAAACAGAACTGCTGTTATGAATTTCCTTTAACTTTACAGGAGACTCTCATTCTCAAAATCAAGATCTCTATTGGACATTTCAAAGGACTGCTCACTGGGCCTTCTTTCTTCTCAGAGGACCTAAGATATTGTGTTTTGACTTTTAAGTCAGCCCTAGTATACGGATGTGGACTGCAGGTAGAATGAGCAATGCAAAGAACTTGCTTGGACTTGGTGTATCCTTGTATTTTTGGGGACTGATGGACCTTACTACAACTGTATTGTCGGGGAGTGCCAGGCCCCTCTCTGAAAGGCAAGAAGATCACCTGTCAGACAAGCAGCACCAGCGTATGAAGAGAAGCTGGGTATGGAACCAGTTTTTTGTCCTGGAGGAATACACCGGGACCGACCCGCTGTACGTCGGCAAGGTAAGGAGCACAGCAGGAGGGGAAAGGAGGAGGTTGTCCAGCGGAACACACGCGTCTGTGTACCTACAGACCATGGCAAAACACAAGATGTGTCTCTAAGTGCCTTTTCTCTGCCCTCTTTCTGGCAGCGAATCTATCTGCATTAATTTCACTTCAGCTCCCAAGAGCTTTTGACCAGTGTCACCTTGAGTTGGGAAGAATTTCTGTTTCAAGGGGCTGTCAATATATTTTCCTGTTTCAAAGAGATCTGCTGTTACTATCATCAGCTGTAATTGGGGTAGCATTAGAAAATCTGCAGTGATCTTTCCAGGGACTCCTACAATGTCAAGGCAAAGCAAGGTTATATTGATATATGAGGATTAGGAAAGGCAGAGTTTATGATCATGCTTCTGTCTGTGATCAAGTCAGCTGAAAATTGAAGTTCATGAGCAAATGAAATAACGAGTATCTTTTGAAAACCAACATTTCAGTTTTTGTTTTTTCTAAATCTAAAGGGTCAGAATTTCTTCTCACTTACCACAGTTTGACCCCAGTTTAATTCTGTAGACTGCAGAGAAGTTGCTCCAAATCTGGAAGGGTAGAGGGACAGCTCATTAAATTCAACATGCAGAGGCCTATTATCAGTTCGCTTACAGCCCTTACACCCTGAGAACCTACACATCAGTACAAATAAGTGTAAAATGGATTTCTAAGCTTACCCCATCTACCTGGTAGTATTTTCCATTCATTTTTCTGTACCTCCTTGAGGAACAAGCTGATGGGAAATCAGATTGATGATGTCCACTGTCACCTACCTTTTGTGCCTCAATATCCATCCTTCTTATGCTATTTTCCCACTTTTTTTTTAAAGATTCTGGAAAGTTTAAACTATTGACACTGCCATTCAAAGGCTTATAGGAAGCACTAGGTTTGCTTCCAGTCTGCACTGATTGCAACTGTAATTACACTGTGTACCCACCACCGAGAGGATGGGGAGGTACAGGTGGGGGAGAGAAGGGGCTGCTAGTGTGTTTAAGTGTTTGAGCGATACACATAAGGTTTTATACATCAAGATGACCAGACACCACAACGATGAGCACAGAATACATAGAGGTAGATATGACAAATTCAGAACAAATTAAGAAAGGTTGTTAGAAAAAAAATCCTTTAAATTTCATTTACTTAAAATAGACTACCTTTTTACATGGTCAAGTTAGAAAAGTTCTTTTTAGGGACATATTGAAAACTGTGCCTCTCTGGCTCA